ACTAGAAAAATTAAGCAAGTGCAATAACTTAAGAGGATTCATGTCCTACTCATTATCACTATCATTTGTAGAAACCATGCTATCGGCACTTAAGTACGGTTTCTTACTTCCCGATGACATAGATAACATAATTGCATTTATTTCATCAAGATCTTCATTTCTTGGAATTAATATTCCACGTTGTTGCAAATATGTCAAATCTGAATATTTCTCTTTGAAATTTGCAAACACAATATCAATTAAAAGTTGAACTCCTCCATGAGTGTTGTCAATCAAATTATTTTTAAGAGTCTATGTCCAATTTGGATCCTTATCCTCCATAAATGATTATAATGATACTCTCCTATCTCCTACACTCAGAATTCAATTTGGAAATTCATATAACTCACAACGCTCTTCATCTATTATCCTAGAGCCAGAATACGCATGTTTGTCTTCAATGTAAGAATTTGACAACATCCCCATAAATATGATCTTTGAATAGACGATGCAATTATTTGTTCTTGTTTACCTTTTTGCAGTATTACCGGTAATATTTGTCGAAAATCAACTCTTAAAATAACAAACTTCCCTAAAAAAATATATCTATCCGCAGTTGAAGATATTGATTTCATTAAATCTCTGAAAGTCCTATCTATAACCTCAAATGCATATCTATTTATCATTGGCGCTTCATCCTAAATAATTAAATCAACTTTCTGTATTAATTTTGCTAAATTTGTTTGCTGGTTGATAAAACAACATGACACTTCATGCAAATATATAAGAAATTTAAACCTTGAATGGATTGTTTTTCCTCTAGGCAACAATAGGGCGGTTATTCTAGAAGAAGCAACTGGTAGAACAATTTTATTATCTACCATGAACTTTGCAATGATTGTTTTTCATAAAAATGTTTTGCCAATTCCACCACTATCATAAATAAAAAATAATCTTCCTTTGTTAGTTGTATGTCCTTCCATAACTTTATCAAAAATAGCTTTCTGATCTATATTAAGGTTTGCATGCCATGTTGCAAAGTTATCAACTTCCACTACACTGTCATAATCCAATGCCTCATGGATCAATCTGTTTTTGATTAATTGATAATGTTGACTTTTTGGAAGTGGCATAGGGGGAAATTCCTTTAGAGACCTACTATTTTGATTTAAAATAATTTTAATTTGATACAAAGCCATGCCCTTTAAAGTTTCAATATCAATGTTCATCAAAATATTTCCATCGTGCCTTTTTAGGGTTAATTGAATATCATCTGCGAGGTCCTTCCAATATTATTCCCAAAACTCCAAAGGATTTGTAACATTACTAAACATCGGAATTTCATAAAACAAATTCCACAATTACAATCTTGATGCCCAAAGAGATGCCTCAATTAAAGATTCATGCCATTCATTATTACCATCAAATATAAAAGCTGAGAATGCTTCCTTAGATGTTGCATATTCAATTCCATTGATTGTTCCCAAATCCTCATACCTCATTGCTCCTTTTATTTTATGGAGTAACAAACGCAAATAATATTGTTCCCCTGAGTTCGGATGAACATAATATATCATTCCAATTGCAAATCCCCACTTTCTCCTTATGCAGTCATTTATTTTTTTGTTCCAAACCCACTTGAAGGGAATTCCAAATATGTTAGGTTTTTTGCATCTTCATATCTTTGGTTTAGCTCAAACCATTTTGTCAACATACTATCTTTTACCTAGACCTGTTCGCAAGTCGGGCTTTAAGCCTAACTTACACTTTATTGGGCTGGGCCCATTTAAATTTTGGCAAAAGCCAAGCCCGAACTCGGCACATGAACAGGTCTACTTTTACCCCTATCGATTGAGAATTATATTCAAGTTAGCAGAATATGAAAATATCAACAATTGTTGATTTGGTAAATGATACTGAAGTTGCTATATTTTAGCGACAATCACAATACTGTTTCACTTCATCGACATATCTATATCAATCCCCTGCAACATTTGTAGTGGACACGCAATTGTCTTCAATTATAACGATTGCACAATTTGATCCATTGTGAATGTATTTATATAAATACTTAATAATTTTTGTTTTCGCACACTGCTCAACATTTATATGTGCATCATACCCTAGTAATAGGTTTGGATTATAGAATTACTCATCTGTTATCTATTGCAATACAATTTTTGACAAATTTCTTTCCATCATCTCGTTGTGAACAAACAACAAACTCAATACTATTTATTGTTGTTTCACTACAAAATGATTTTGCGTATTCTTTAGAACATTTACCACCAACCATACATGAGCTATTTGGATTGTGTTCATCACATGGGCCATGTATTATACATCAAGTAATTGTTTCATATAAGAGTGAATCATTTTCTCTATCAAGTAATTTTACACATATAATATTATCAATATCATCAATTGACATAGGCTTATCTTGCTCTATTAGAGTTTTAAGTATGTAGGAATGTGGGAGGCCTCTTTTTTGAAATTCTATTACATGTACATTTGCGATAACATCCCTAAATAGTTTTCCTTTTTTTTTAAATTATGAAGCAACTGCTTCAATTTGATTTGAAATACCTTGACAATTAAATCAGGTCGATCTTCTACTTATTGCCACGATATTCGTTGAAGCTCTTCTCTAAGCTATGGCCATTTTGGGTTACAGGTGAAAGTAATGAAAAAATTTGGAGGTCTTGCCCATTTGCATATTGCCATTGTATCTTGATATTGTTGTATTTAGCATGATCCTCTGGTAAAATATGATGACAATATAAATCTTTTTCCAACAACAAATGCATCAACATCTCCAATGTAACAACATCTTGTAAGCCTTAGTACAAATCATACCGTACTTGTGATTGATTATCTGTGACGTACTTCAATCGTTGATGTTCAATTGTTGTATGAGTCAACTATAAATTGTTGAAATAATTTACCACCCTTTAGAAGTGTTGTTTCCTCAATTTCCCTATATTGCAATGTTGGTGCAATAAACTCTGATAGTGAAACTCTTTATCGAGATATGCAGGATCCACATGCAAGTAGTATATTTATATTCCACCCATTTGTACCATGCATAAATAGTATAGAATATTGTAATGGTAGATATGATGGGTGTGTTTCACTAATCTTCTGTAAAATTCTATCATTCGTTTGAACAACAATATCTCGATGGTCTACTTCTTCATTACTACCACCAACTATCAATGTGGTAATTTCATTTGTTGTTGGCCTTAATATACTATTGCCCTTGTCTTGAATCTATGATATGAATTTGTAAATTAGAAATATTTTCCTAGCAAAGCATTTCTCTTACCCTACGAAGTATTTGGATGTATGGATTCAATAAATCAAGCATAGATTGCAATCCTTCCTTAATTGATGGATTAACACTTGGTGCACCGTTATTTTCACCAATTACTTGCATTCGGTTTTGAACTTCATGCTTTATATCATAATCATACAATTGAGCAAATTTTGGTCTTCTTCCATTTTGTGGCAATAAAGAACCTATTTGGTGAAAGTTCCCTTCATCGATTGTAAAGGTATATGGATCATTTCCATCTAAAACACTTCAATCTATTCTTGCACCCACAGATGTAAATGACAATATGGACTTGTAGGTCCATATATTATCTTTGACGTTTGCATCATTGTAAAGCACTTCTAAATATTTAGGGGTGGTTGGTAGCATTGGTAGTTTGAAAGTGAATGGTGATAGGATGAAGGTTATTTTTTAAGGAGTGTGTAGGAAACAAGATGATACATAAGAAAACCAATGTAAAATAAGGTGGTGAAAATTTTGGTGCAAATTTTTTATATTGTTTTTTGGATGCAAAATTTGCACCGTTAGTGATTACAAATGAGTAAAAAAATGTATAAACTTTCTATTAGGTAAGAATAGTTTGTGAGAGTTTTTTTTTCCATAGATGAATGGACTATAAGAATAGAGCTCAAATCATAATCATAAACAAATGGATGCAAAATTGAGCTAGATATAAAATTTGCATCCAGTTTGGAAAGAGAACAAATACAAATTTATATAGTGCAAAAGGATGTATTTTGTATTTCTAAACCTTGTTTTACACTACACATATTTGTTTTTGTATTTGTACCAAATTGAGCTAAAGAAGTAATACAAATACAAATATGTAAAGTCCAAAACCTTGTATTTTATATTAGGGAAAATATAAAAATCTCCCTTGAAGTTTTAACCATCATAAAAAGCTCCCCTAAGGTTTCACTTTCACAAAAACCCCTGTAGTATTGAAAAAATCTGCCGTTACCTTCCCTTTTCTTATTGTCATGGATGGAAAACATTGGCATAATGCATTAGTTATTCAAAAGTACCCATTTACCCTTATATATACCAATTAGATAGAAATTTACTAAAATGCCCCCCCCAAAATTATCACTTTTAATTAAAAATCATTGAGTTTGATTGAAAATAATAAGGAATTTTACTCTATAAAAACGTTAGGTCTAGTGAAGGTTAGGAGGGCAAAACTGGCATTTTGGATTATATTGAAAGATGTGTAAGGGTAATTTCGTAAGTTTGAAGTTTTCGTTACTCAAACAAAGATAGAAGGGAGGTAACTACAAGTTTTTTGTAAACTATAGGAGATTTTATGAAAGTAAAATCTCAGGGGAGGTTTTTATGATTGTCAGAAATTTCAAGGTAGGTTTTTACATTTTACCTTTTTAATGTAAAAACTGAGAACACGTGATACCTATCCAATTCTCAATCGAGAAATCCCTACCGCTACACATCAAAAAGATGTTCCCAATGTGCGGCTGTGATATTTTGTCCAGAGGATATGGTCAGCGATTTGTGGTCGTTAGATCGGAGCTAATCCAATTGATGATATTGATCTACGCACCCTGCCGCAGCCGCGAAACCAACTGTAATTAACTGACGTCTAACGTATACGGTATACGCCTGCTAATCAGGTCGTAAGCTCTACACGCCTGGCGCGTACTACGCACCTATTGTCTTAATCCTTGCTTACGCACGCGAGTGGACCTAACATTCTTCCTCTTCCTTCTCCCCTCCCACCCTCCTCGGCCTCTGGTCTTAATTGCTTCGTTGGGTTTATTATAATGTCTTCGTTTCCACTATTTAAATCCACAGACGGGGAGTCAGAAGCAGAGACGGAGAGAGATGGTTCTCGACCTTCTGGTGGTGGTGGGTTAATTGGAGCTCGGATTCATGGAGGTTTCGTCGAATTCGCTGACATTCTACGATTTCCTCGACCGAATGCGGCACCCCGCTTCACTTGATCTCGTTCGCTCCATCAAAAGGTACTACAATTCCATCTTTTTTTTCTTTTCATGAGAATTTCTTTTTTTCTTTCTTCAGAATTTAATGGTGTTTGAACTGTGTTTTGTCTATAAAAATTAAGCATTTTTGGCTTTCTTGAATCTTTTTTAAAGAATATATGTTGATTTCTGGCCTTCGAGTTCTTCTTGAATTTTGTTGGTTTGGGTATTTTTTGCTGCGATTTTTTCTTTTCAATTTAGGGTTTTAGTTGGCATGAAGTTGGTGTTTTGAGTTCTGCGTTTTGATGGGTTTGGTACCTGAAAAGTCTTAATCGGGTTTCTTCTCTCAAAGTCGTTTCCTTTCCATAAGCCTGACCGAATTGGTTCGATTGGCGTTGTTTCTGCGTTTTATGTCGTAGTATGAATTAAAAAGCTACGGAAGATATTGATTATGGAAAACTGAGGATACGGCAGCATGAGTCAGAGAACTTGCATGAATTTCTATAAAAATGTCTCATGTGGCCTTTGCAGCAACAGAAAGATTTAAATTGACTAGATTTCGAGGTTTGGAAACGTTAGTATGAAATGATGGGCTGGACTCTCTCGTGTCTAGGTCAATCCCGGTTGGAAAGGGACCACATTTAATTGTACCTGGATATTTGGAGATCTTTGGTTGCATTAATATGATCAGGGATAAACATCAAGACCAAGGTTGCCCTAGAAAAACTTTAGTATAGAGGAGGGTGGAACATTGGCTTGAATTTCTGTTGTTAAGGAGGAACTTGGAGCAGAAGATTTTAATTTAGGTTTTCCTGGCAGTTAAATGTAGGATTACAAAGTTGAACTTTTTTAGCTTTTATTTCCATTTCTTCCAGACAGACTGTTGTGACACAAAGAAAAGGTAAAAGAAATGGATAAGAACCTTTTCAGATGTGTTTTGACAAAAATCTCTACATAGTATCAACTATCAACAGCCATTGAAGGAGATAGGGAGAGGAAATTCCTTAGAATGGAACCACCTTTAGATGATACTTTCAGCAAGTTGTAATGATAAATGCTTGTTACAATTTCTTACAAATAAAGAAGTCCATCAAATAAATAAAAGCAATCCCATCAGGCTTTAGTTTTACTTCAAAGGCCAAGACTGCCTTGGAATAGGACCTAGTTGCTAAGAAAGTGCTATTCAAGTGAATACTTGAGCAGGGTAAAGCTTCAAGTTTTATTTATGTTGATTGGTGCTGGTGTGGAGGCCAAGGTAATTAATGCAGAACCAAATTCTAAGAAGACCCAATTGCATGTGCCTGTAAAGCTGTGCCAATAAGCTTGCCTAATAAGTTGTTCAGTTGGGCTTAAAGCCCATGAACTTATGCCAATTCCAGCAATCCCAAGAATTTAAAATTGTAAAGATCAAGTGGGGCCCATTGGCTGAATGATTCTCTCAATCAAAGATATGATAGAGATTGAGAGAATCTTTTAGATTCATTCAAATTTGAATTTCCTTCCTTTGTTAGCAAGTGTGTTCCTATCTAGTCACACTCATTGGGAGGATAAATATCTTGTTAATCTCAAAAGAATTTTGATATTCATCTAAAAATATCATTGTAAACACTCTTTTGAGATTGAATGAAAGTTGAACTGTTCTTACAATTTTTGTGGCTTGGTATTGATTCTAAGTTTGGAGACATTTGCTTGGGTGCAAGAGTGAAACCTCATGCTGAGAAATTTGAGAATGCAGGTTCAAGTCTGAGAGTGCCCATTTTGTGCAGAAAAAAAATACCATACATTAGATCTTTATCCAGTCCACCCTTCCTATGACCCTAGATGGCTAGATATACAGGACCAACATTGTGTAATGGTGTTGAGTCTAAGACTGAAGGTGCTCACTCCTAAAGAAACTTAATGGTGTTAATCTACTATGTTCTATGTTTACTCTATAATTAGTACTTTATCTGTTTTTCTTTATCTTACTTGTGAATCTTGTTATTAATGTCAATTTAGTCATTTTTATCTTTTGGACTAATCCCTTTCTCCCTTGTAAACTTCCTTCTTATTGTTTTGACCTTCCTAAGCCTTTAACCAACTCTTCCAAGTTCTTCGCCCAACTTGTGGGCCCTATTTCAAACTACTTTACACACTTATTATTCTCATTTCACTTGTTTTACTCATTGTTTAGCTCTCTTGAGTTCTATCCAGCCCATTGTTCTAGTTGACATAAAGCTAAATCTCAAAATAACAAGCTGAGAGCTTAATGACCCAATTCCATCTTGCTCAGTCCAACTACAGCCACATCATGTAGCATTTGTTGGGTGGGTGTGGCATCACTTATAGTATTAGAGTTCACGGTATGTCAGTATGTTCTCAGAATTGGTTTATTGATAACCAACAATCCTATAGCTTGAGAAGCTGTTTGATAACAGCTAAAATGGGTGATCTGAATGGCTTATTGCTGTCTTTTAGTAAATAAATTTTTAAGGATGCCGTGAGCTCCTTACTGAAGCTGAAACTAGGTTGATTATTATATCCTTGAGTATTTTATTATTTAAACATTTTATCCACTAAAAGACAAAGCAATAAATCATTCATTTATCCACTTCAGCCATTATCAAACATCCCCTTTGATTCACTAATAGGCAACGGGATCACGTTCTCCTCCAACTTGTTGTACAACTGGATAGTTTGAACTTTGAACTAGTATATAAACAGATTAGAGTCAAAAGGTAAGGGGTTTTCTAAAGCACCTGTAGCCCAGAGACAAAAAACCAATGGTCAGAAAGGATAAAAAACAAAAACCCTCCAAAGAGGAGAATATTGGAGATCCTATAGTTACATTTTTATACAATGATAATCCACTAATTGTCCAACCAAATTAACAGCTCTTACGCACCCATAAAGAGCCAATAAAAGTTGGTTCAATGTAACATTTGAGAACCCAAGACCCTTAATGTAGGATTTCAAGTAGATATTTGAGGTTTTCGTCCAAGAGTGTTTCCTGTTTCTTAAGCAGTCTATGGTTGATGATGTAGTGAAGCAAGGTGAAGAATTTGAGGTTCAATTTGCAATTAAGGCTCCAAATCAAGAAGTTAGTGTTGATGAACATAATAAACATTTAAACCACATAATAGAGTAATCAATTAATTGGCTTCAGAGGAGCTTAAGAGTGGTTTACATGAATCAGTTAAGATGAAGATGTTTTATTCTTGAAATACAGTTTAAGGGTTAAAGCAGCAAAACAATGGCTATGGCATAAATGATCTTTTTGAAGTGCATAGTTTTCTAGATTTTTTACAGGTTTTGTGCAGCACACCTGCTTTATAGTTCAAGCTTGTGGAAGCATTGAATTCCTGTGGTCATAGATTATTCTACCTTGGAAGATAATCCAGTTCTCATCCTTCAATTCTTTAAATCTCGAGGGCAAGTTTTTCCCAACCAGGGGGAGAATGATATAGAGACAATGACTAAGAAGGAGGAAGTCAAACCAATGCTTATGTATTTGTCCTTTATGTGGATGCACAGCTTAGTTGTCAAGGCATCTAGGTGATTTTGCGTGACAGTAGGTTGCCTAGTTGCCTAGGTCTAGGTGATAAGAATTTTATTTAAACAAAAAACTAAGTTTTACCTAGTTCCCTAGTTTTATATACCACCCAGCATGCATATTAATTGAAAAAAAAAGCAATTATCTTTATTAATTACATATAATTTCATCTCAAAACATGGAAAATCCTCATATATAGGACAATACCATTTATATTGACTTCAATACTTTCAAAAATGGTGCTGATATGATAAGTATTTAATAGAGCAGCTTCATATCAATTAAGCAACTAGAAGGCTGTGATTTTATATGATAAGATTTAATATAGAGAGTAAGTAAAAGAGAAAAAGAACAAGGGTTGAGCCATTATTTTATTTAATGTAAGAAATCTCTTTATTCATAGTATATAATAGAATGCTTTAACAAATATGTTAGTAAGATGTAGCAACATGAATGATATTATAGTGAGGCACCTGCCTTGTCATTTTTGTCATCCAGATAGAATGTATTAACAAACATGTGAGTAAGATGTAGCAACATGAATGATATTATAATAAAGCACCCACCTTGTCATTTTTTGTCATCCAGGTTGGTGCACAGGCACCTTATTGCTATAACCTACAAGCAAGGCCTTTAGGTGAGGCACCTGGAAAAGAGTGCCTAGTCACCTAGGCAATGATAGATTAACAAATTGGTTTTCCACAAATCCACGTGAACACTTCCTAATTCAATGAACCTATTAAGTTGCACCAGTAAGCAAACCCAAAGCCCAGTCCAGTAAGCCCAAGAATTTAGAATTATCCATCTCAAGTTGGGCCCATAGGCTGGTTAGGAGATTCTCTCGACCAAATATTTGATTGAGATTGAGAAAATCTTTTAGATTTAGTTAGGTTTGAATTTCTTTTCTTTGTTAGCAAGTATTTCCCTATGTAGTTGTACTTGAGAACATAAGTATCCTATTAGTCTCAAAGAGATGTTCATCTGTAAATATCATTGCAAAAATTCATTTGAGAATCAATGAAAGTTGAATTGTTCTTACAATTTTTATGGTTTGGTGCTGATTTTAGAGAAACTTAATAGAGTTCACTCTATTAGGCTCCATCTTTACTCTATAAGAAGTATTTTGTTCATTTGTTTCATCTTACTTGTGAGTGCTCTTCTTTACCTTTTAGTCTTACCTTTTTCTCCCTTGCAAATTTTTGCCCTGGTTCGCTTTAATTTCTCTTTATTCTTTTACTATACTCCTCTTTTCTTCTTTGTTGCTACTGTTCTAAACTTTTGCATTTATCTTTTAATAGAAGATATTTACTCCTTATTGTTTCAAACATAATGTTCTTAAGGCTGTGTTTGGTTGCAATGCAAATAAATTTGCGCTGATGCAAACCATGGCAGTGCAAATGATTTGAGTGTAAATTCTGACCTCTTTTTGTTTCAAATTTTAGTTTATTTTGTTTGATTGCAGTACAAATGAAGTAAATTAAGACATCAAGCAGAATAAGGTAAAATCCAAAACAAATTAAAATTACACTGCAACCAAACACAGCCTAAGGCTCTAACCTGCGCTTCCAAGCTGTTACTAATCTGTATGCCATATTTTAACCACTTTACCAACTACCGGTTCTGTTTTCAATTTTTTTTTATCATCTAAACTCTCTTTAAGTTATTTCTGGTTGTGATCATGGGCTGGGCTGGGCAAGGTACCATAAAGGTGCCATACTAAAACAATTTAACCAATCAAAACTTTATGTGAATTTAAATGAAAATACCCTTTGATTGGTTTTGAATTTGTTAGGTTCTGTACGTTTTCTGTATCATAGCAAGACTCATAAGTTGGAGTATGAGTGGCAGAATGGTGGTTTTGAGCTTGCTTTATTTAGGTAAGAGTTGGTTGACCCTAGCGAGTATTTTGAGTTGAAATGAAAATGCTATCTTCACCACCACAGTGAAGAGATTCATCATTCCACCCAATAGTTAGACGACATTGGGAAGCTACAACCTAACAACCTTAATGGTTCTGTTTTTTTTTTTTTTTTTTTTTAAACAAACCATCAATCAAATCAATCTCCAATCACAGCTGATAAAGTTGGAAATGACAGGGAGGGTATGGAACACCATCAATTAGCATTTTTCATCTATGCTGTTAGAAGGGAGATTGCCTTTCAAAGAAACAGAGAGAAGAAAAGGAATTTGAAACCGAGGTTCTCGATTTAAACCTATTGAGCAGTAAATCAGAATGGTATAATATTTATGAAGCAACAATGTCAAATTAATTTCAGTTTTTTTCCTGTTAGAAGCCAAAATTTGCTCATTTGTTACAATTTTTGCAATTTATATGGTAGAGATTTGTGGTTTCTTTTGGATTTTTTTTACCAGATTTATTTTCTATTAATGAAAAAGGATTCAATATTACCATTTGAGGGACGGTTTTATAATATATTTCATATTTCATATTTAAAATTATAGGCCTGGAACCTGGCCTGGCCTGGTCCATCCCAGGCCCAAGCCCGAGATATAGCCCTTATTCTAGGTGCTAAGCCCAGCTCAGGCCCGGCCCTGATCACCCCTACCATTGAGTAACTCTGGGTTCTCTTCTCTTCTCTCTCTAATCTGAGAACTCTTACGGAAATTAGTATCCCTCAAATTCTTAATTAAAGGATTCGATTCAACAGACCTAAAGGACTGAAATTGATACAGTCACGCGTGTCTTTAGTTATATAAAAAACCTAATGTTTTCCCTTTTTTACAATCGTTGTCATTTTGTGCCAAAAAGCCTCCTATTGTTCTCATATTTAGTCACTTTGCATTATTAGACCATAGATAATTAGATGTTCATCATCTTTTATCTACCAAATTTCATCCCAAAGCTCCATCTAAGATCCTAGTCTTTGGAATAATCTTCTCTTATGAAAGGAATTTTTTTGTCCTTTTGTGCAAAACTTAATCAGAATTCCTTCAGATTCATTATAAACATTATTAAAGTTTCATTAAAATGTTCCATCTCTATGCTTAAGTTCTTAAGTTTTTTATTTTTCAGTCTCACAGAGAATTTTACAATTCTTAGATTTTGATACAAGACCTTTCTAACCCTTTTAACCCTTTCTTTCAATCATAAAATTGCCCATTTTACCCATTGTTACCTTCCTTGTCTCATCCTTAAGTCATAGACAATCTTATTTCATTTGGTATCAAAGCTGACAATTCTACATCATGTGGTGTTTGAGTAGGCAGTCCTACATAGCAAGGCACAAGGAGTGAGCTGGGAACATGGTGCTCCCAAAACTTTGAAAGTTCCATATGACTCTTGTTGATCTACAGAGTAGCTAACAAAAAATCTAAAAGGAATCCTAACATGGTCTTAACAACATATTAGAAGAATATATATTATGCGTCTTCTTCCCCATTGTTTAAGTATGCTCAGCCAACTTAACATGATTCCTATAATCTAGGAAACATTAATCAACCCAAATTTTTATAGAACCATGCTACAATGAGGGTGTCCTCATGATGCAACCAGAATACTAAAATTCAAATCAACCAAACATTAAAATATTGCCACAGGTTCAAGAATATAAAAATCTTGATTTCCACTACTCCATTTTCCTCTCTTGCTCCCATCATTTGAGGAGAGAGAAAGACAAAAGAGGGGCCCTTGGTTTTCTTTTGAAGAAGGTAAGGTATTATATTGCAAAATAAAGAAAACCGAATACACCAGCCCATGTACAATTATCAAGAGCTGCAGTCCAAACCAGGAAGGCAATTTTCAATGGTGCATGGGAATTGATTAAAGCCCAAGGGAAGTCTCCATCCTCACCAAAACAAGGTTGTTGTAGGACTGAGAAGAAAACTTACCAGAGGACTCCCAAGACCAGATTCTATCATCATCAGACTGTGGGTTGGGCTTGAAACCTTGAATGAGACTTGGTGGCTCAGTCAGTGGAACAATTTCCCAATCATTGATATTTTTGACATGCAATTGCTCTATCAAAGACTTATTATATATATAATGCAATGTTGTGTTTGAAATATTAAAATTAATTAATAGATTTAAAATGATATTTTCTTTTAAATATGATGACTTATCATGTTTTGATATGAAATTTATTGTTATTTAATTAAAAGCATTTACATTTTTCAATTTGTATGATTACTGGTTGGTATATAACACTAGAAAATTAGCCTAGAATAATAGGATTTTATTTTTCAAATTCCATTGCCTAGGCTGGCATGTATGCTAGCTTGGCACTCCTCTATTCTCTAGAATTACCTTTACACCTTGGCAACTATGCTTTTGGTATGACATACTTATATTTCCTGTTTAATAATCCATATTTTGACTTCCTATTTTTAGCATTCTTTCTTCACCAAGGAAATTTTCTTACTCTTTCATTCAATGGTTTATTCTTTAGCAATTGGATTTTGTGATACTTCAAGGATGTTATGTTGCAGTTTCATTGTGTCGTTTTCATTTTGTACTGCCAATTCTGAAAGTGATAGCAAAAAGCTACAAGATTTCCTCTTGACCATGGAGTCTTCCATTAGGGATCATCCATTATGGGCTGGTGCCACTGAGGAAGAAATTGACTGTGCTGTTGAGGTAAATGTATTCTTCAGTGTATTAAGCTCTTATTGTAAATACTCTTTCATTTTCGTTTTTCTAATTAAGTAATGACTTGCTACTTCTATTGATTATCATGATTTGTTTGCAACTTATTCAACCTGATTTTCAATTGTTCACTTTATGTTAGTAATGGAAAAGGCATTGTACAACAAGATTTATGTAATGAATAACACATAATATGATTATTGATCCTCCATTGGACTTTTTTGTCCATCCTAATGGATCAAATATGCCTCATGTATTGGGTGAGCGCACTTAAGAGGTGAACTTTACCAAGTAGCATTTAAGCCACAGAGAAGGAGAAACCCCATGTACAAGAACGCAAGATAAATCGGTCAATGAGAGTGTTGATTGATCTGTGCACAATTAAAAGCTACAGAAGGGGAGTTAAATTTAGGCTCCATTTGGTTCGCGGAAATAGGGGTCTGGAATCGGAATCGGTATGGGCTATTCTGATTCCAACTGTTTGGTTGGGTGGAATCGGAATCCCATTCCCATTCCTGTTTGAACCAAACAGACCATGGGAATACACCATTTCAATTCTGACTACGAATCAAATGGACCCTTAATCTCTGTCAATTGATCTCTAAAATAGGAGAAGTTAACAACCCAGAAACTAATTGAAGACCAAGAAAAAAAGGTGGTCAGTGATCTTATTCTTTCCCAACAAATTCTCATGTAAACAGTTGTGTTTAAAGATGCACTAATTTTCAAACATAATGTTATAATGGAAAAAGGATTCTGGAAGATAAGCCCTCCTAAAATTTAGTGGATGCAACTTGGAAAGACCTGGGTTGAGCATTTGTCAGATTTTCAAAGAAGCAACAATATTGAAATTTTTTGAGCCATGTTCCCAAATTTGCACCCCTACTAAAAATAGCTCTGTAATGACCTGAGGAACGGTCAAGTTATACCAAATTCTGCCAAGAAATAATTTCATTCTTGTAGATGAAAAGGAAATGAAGCATAAAATGGGAGGCTGGTTCATGCTTCTCCTTGTACATGAAATACATATTAGGGATAAATAGTTTCAAAAAGCTAGGTGGTTCAAAGTCAGAATCCAATCTGAGCAAAGTTGTCCACATAAAGAAAAAAGAATTCAACCTTGTTAGAGATACAAAAATTCCCAATTATTTTGTCTGGTGTGTAATATGCAAGATGTCTATTTGGTGGTTACATGGCAATAGCTTCTTAACATGGTATTACCCTTGGTAAAATGTCAATTACAATTTACCATCCATGTCCATATAATTAAATGACAACCTAACAAATTAATTGGAGAAAAATCTCCATTGAAGATTAAGTCACTAAAATCCTGACAACAAGAACAATTTTCTCTCAGAAACTTGTTATTATATGGTGCAGAAGCATATGGTCTTCTGGTTTGGTTGCTAATAGTAAAATAAATGATTTGTTTCCCTATATTTGGTATAAATTTAGATTAATAGGTTCTTTCTACTGATAAAATCTATGCATAATATGTAATAGGTCTCTTAAGTAAGCTGCTACTTAAAAGATCTAAACTTTTTTTTGGTAGTAAATAAAAAAGAAAATTTATTGATAAGAGATTTAAGTACATCTGATAGTGATGAAATATCACTAGAAAACAAAGCTACAAAGGAGAGTGGAGCAAATAAAAAGGATACACTAAGAAGAAAAAAGGAGAAGAAACATAAACCGAACAAAAGGGAAACAATTAATCCAACTCCAGAATGTTCCACAATCCAGAATCAAGGTCTTCCTTTGAGATTCCTTCAAACCCTGGGAGAATGAGAGCCCAGTCCATAATTCTTTTGCCGCATAGAAGTGTGATATGCTCCCTTGTTCAAGCCTTCTTATCAAATATTTTTCTATTTCTTTCTTTCCATAATTCCCAATAGACTGCAAAAGGAATGCCGCTCCAAGTAGTCTTTGCCTTGACATTTGCTTTTACCTTTGGCCATTTGGAAAAGATCTCCGCAGAATTGGGAGACCACCCACCAACCTTGAAAAGCCTAAAGAAGCCCCAAATGAATTTGGTGAAAAGGCACTCAACAAGCAAATGATAGACATTCTCCTCTACATTTGCACAAAGATAGCATCTGTTGTGTAGCCTAGCATTGTGGGCTTGGGCCTATTTATGTTATGTCGTAACATTTACTTGTGTAACTTCCTTCCTGGGCTAAATCGGCCTGTGCCTACTTTGTTTTTTATGTTTTCTTACTGCCTACTAATCAGGGGCAGGTTTGTCATTGTATCTCTTTCTTATTGCCATAGTATAAAAGCTGTCTTGGAGAGCTGGAGAGATGTGCAGCCCATTTCTTCTATTCTCTTCTTCTTCTTCTATAGAACTGAATACAGACAAATACAGAAAGCATCTACCAGCTAAGTGAAAACCTCTGTTTTGAAGATGGTTTAATGTCAAAATGCTATCCAATGCCACTAGCCAAGCAAAAGTTTCCACCCTTGGGGGGACAAGGTTTCCCCAGATGCCTTTCGATTCTAAATTTTCTCCATTTGACCTTGACAAAGACTTATAGAAGGATTTGACTGAAAATAGACCATTTCTACATTCTTTCCACCATCTTGAATCTTTCCTTTCTGCCTGAGGTTCAGCTGCCTATGGTTTTGCCAGAAGATCCACACACTCTTGAATTTCCCAATCAAAGAGAGATCTCGTAAATTTTGGACACCATACTGCTCTACCTTGATTGATCTCAAAATTCTCTGCAATGGAGCCTTTTTTTTTGTGAAAGCCTATATAATTCTGATAAGCCTTCATGTATTGTTGTGGGCCCTTACATATGTAAATAAGTGGTTGTGGGGGGTCAAAGAAGAATATGAAATAGGTTTGTTTTTCAATTAAGTTATAAAAGTCCTAGCAGTTTCTCAGTCATCTATCTCCCCACCACCAGTAGTCCTCTCAAAAATTGACCTTATCCCTAGAGTTGACAAAGAGCCAAGTGTGGGTTAGGAACCAAGGAAGCAGTTCCAAGGACAATAGGAAGAACCCTTGCATTTAAACTGATATCCCAACTATTAAGATGTCTCCCATGAATGCTTGCCACCACATAATGCCATAGTTGCCCGAGTCTATGGCAAACCTCCATCATTTCCCTAACAGAACACTTGAAGAGCAGAGGTTTCAACATGGCTAGTTACTGCTACTTATGTAAATAGGAGGAGGAATCTGCTTTTCACTTGTTCTTCTCATGCAAAGTGGCAAACTTCATATGGAAGTTTTACTCTCTCCTCTTTGGACTCCCAATATTCCACCCCTCCTCAACAGCCGAAATATTTTCTTCTTGGCTAAGGTTCAGAGGAAGCAAGAAAGCTAAAATTATATTGAGCTGCATCCCATTTGCAATGTGTTGGACATTGTGATCCGAAAGGAACAGAAGGATTTTTTTAGGACAAAGAAAAGAGTTTAAGTGGTTGTGGCTTCAGTCAGAAAGCATGTCACAAGCTGGATCCTATCTCTTCAAGAATTTGAGAAAATTAATATTTCAGACTTCATAGAAAACTTTTGGGATATTCTTGAGATCCAAGCTTGCAATGTGAATCTTTTTTAATTTGGACTAAGTGTATTGGAGTGTCATCTTGACACCTAACCAGATTGTATCCTCTCCTTTTATTTTTAATATTTTTTTTTTGCTTTACTCTTCAAGAAAAAAAAAAGTGCTAAATTCCTCTTCATCAATCCAACCATACCTAGACCCCCTTTTGTCTTCTTAGTGCACACAATTTTCCAGTCTAGCAAGTGATACTTTTAGATTCTCTTGGCTCCCATAAGAAGTCCCTCATGATGTTCCCCAATCTTTTGGATATTAGTATTACGACCAGCATCTTAAACACTGAAAGATGGTAGACTGGTAGATTTTCTAAAGTTTGAATTAATTAGGTTTATCCTATCTCCTAAGATAGCATATCTTCTCTTCCAAGTGGACAATTTCTTTGCACACCTTTCCATGATGGGATTCAAAAAACTGCTACTCTTCAGCTTTCCTCCTAATGGGAATCCAAGATTATTTCATTGGCCATCCAGTTAGTTGAATGCCTCATATGTCCTGCAATTCTACCTACTTCCTCCTCACGCATGTTTACTCCAGCAATGCAGCTTTTATTAAGATTAACTTTCAGATTCAAGACTTTTCTTTTTTTTTTTTTGGGGGGGGGAGGGGGTTGGGTAAGGAGATTCAAGATCATCTCAAAGCCTTTTATCAAAGAGTGCAATTTTTTTGCCCCTTGTACTCCAATTTCATCATTAAACAACACAGTGCCATCAACATATCTGTGAGCTTAGTTTCCTCTCTTCCCATCTTTCAAACGTCAAGTAATTATGTCCAACTTGTATTTTCAGGGTTGGTCATGCATTACAATGTATTTTCCTTGTCATATCTTATTCTAAATGGGAGTTTTGATTATACAATGAGTTATAAGTGTGTATCGATATTCATGTTATCATTTATCTAAAATTTTATCATATGTTTCCCAAAATGGACGAAACCTCTCTGCTTGATTATGTCATAAAAAATGTATTAATAGATGCCTGAATGTATTGATGTCATATAGTGTGACTTGTTCAAGTCCAAGTTCTCTCTGTTACCACTCATGCCATGAACTGTTTCTTTATATTAGCATCAAGACTTAATATTTACACCTATTCCATGTTATACATGTCTAGATTAGTAGGTTTCAAGCATGATATGGACTTAGTTGAGACTTTGTGTGTGTATTTGATGTGATTGAGGTCCTTCAAAATGGAGAAGAGTTAGATACTTGGAAGATTCTGCGCAAACTTCTTTAGAATATGGTACTCATGTCTATTTATTTGTGCATAGACATAACAACCCATCAATTTCCAAGATTTTCCAAGATTTCCCAAGAGCTTCCCTGCAGTTGATACATTGTGTAATCTTCTCAGATGCTTAGGTTGGTCCTGATTATGTCATTAAAAATGATAACTAATAGGTGATATCTAGAAAATTGATACATACATACATGCATACATACATACATATATATATATATATATATACATACATACATACCATTATATATGGTATAAATGGCTGGTTGGCTGCTTCCCTTTTTTGTTGGCTGCTTCCCTTAGTAGGATCATTACTAAGGCTGACAGCGAAGATGCCATCAGGGGTTGGAGAATAGGGAGACACCAAGTCCCCATCACCCACCTTCAGTTTGCAGACGACCTAATGATTTTTTGTGAAGGAGGTCTTAGTGAAAAGGTAGCAAACCTAAAGGAGCTAATA